TCCTACACAGAATGTACACCGTCTCTCCATCTGCTACGCTGCCGACACACTGCATGCAGGTTAATCCTACACAGAATGTACACCGTCTCTCCATCTGCTACGCTGCCGACACACTGCATGCAGGTTAATCCTACACAGAATGTACTGTCCATCCATCTGCTACACACTGTTACATAAACTGTATAGCAGACCAGCAGATCATATATAAATGTGCTGTTACTCTGATAGCATACTGCATGTACTGTGACATTCACACCGGCCACTAATGGGTGACACTGTGTCTCAGGACCGCACCGCCTGTGTGAGCGACTGCACCCTGTCGTTGCCACTTCAGGGGGGGGGCCTGGCTCACTACGACTTCTCCTCACTGGCTAACACCACCCACTTCCACAGCAGCGCCCGTTTCACCAGCAAAGGACTGCGCTACTTCCACCAGTACAGCGTCAGCCTTTGCGGAAATGAGGTGACCCTAATACTTAAGACCAGTAGAACAGTCTGTGTAATGCAGCATAGTTGTGTTGGTTTATATGTTTATATTAATTCATTTAGAAGACAATTCCACAGAGAATTACAGTTAAATGCATTAGAGTATCAGGTGCTGAGTAAGTAAACAGTCAGGGTGAGCTCAGTAAATTAAATGTAGCCTCGAATCCCCATAATGTGACAGAGCTGTAAAAATAGGGAAAGAATTATGAAAAAGCATCCTAACCCATAGGTCTCCTGACAGAGAAATGTGACCCCTGCCTAAGAGCTTAAAACCTGAGAGCTCATATTCAAGGCACATTCACAAACAATCAATTAATCAGTTTGGCACGACTTATGACCTGTAACATTGCAGGTGCAGCCTTCAGTCTGCCACCTCACACAGGCCGGAGTAACCCATTGATACACTTTTTATAGCCCTCCCCCCCCCCCAAAGTCTAAGTAAGCATGTCAATGGCCTACACAGAGTGCAAATGCGGGGCGTAAATGTGGCGTTTGTGTCTGGGGCTTCGCAGGGGGGGCCAGCTGCACTCTGTGTGGATAATGTCACAGAGAGTAAAAGGGAGGTGAAAGGTCACGTGTGCCAGTCCACTGTGGTGCCATCTCAAGTGAGGGGCCAGAGGTTGGTGTCATCTCAGCCGTTCAGCATCGGCGACACCCTGATCGGTAACGTCCCTGAGGATTCACCTCATCTCCTTATCGCTCTCCTCCCAGTACAGTGTGGCATCATAATTTGGTTCCAGTGTCGTACATTTACTGTCCTTGAATGAAAGCCTGCTAATCATTCACATGCATGTCCTATTTTTAATTTAATTTAGAATGTCTCTTGCTTCTCTGTGCAGTGTTTCCTCTGGCAGTCAGGCTTATCAGTCTGGCCTTGATTCCTACCAGTCAGTGAAGCGTCAGTGTAGCTGAAGTTTTTGTTTAACAGTAACTTTACTCCTTGACCTCCTTCTTCTCAGGCATCACTGCGGACACCGTCTTGGACAATATCTCTTCTCCGACAGCCTACTTTCCCACTGACTCCAGCCTGCCTGATGTCATCTTTTACTATCGGTGAGCAAAGCCACATAAGTAATATAATAGTTAATGCCCAGGCAGTTTGTTTCATTCTGCAATAACATCACATTAAGTTTGTTCATCACCAAACAATGTTCTACATGTCCGGAGGAAATCGTGTTAAAGTGCTATAAACAGATTAATGGCATTTTGTTCTTTTAGATATTTCTACTGACAGAACATGCAAACATTCATAATCTCATTTCTATTGAAAATCTGGAGAATTAAATTTGCATATTTTTAATTTTTTGCTGATGTTCAAATGTTTTCCTGATCATTATGATAGATCAGCGGAGGCGACCCTGGCATGTAAAAAGGGCCGATCCTCCACCATTAGAATGAGGTGTGACCCCTCTGTCTTAACAAATGACCAGCTGTCTCTCCCGAGGTAAGACACACATGGTATGGTCTAGTAGTGGGGAATGTTAGTGAATTAATAGCTAAATCACCACATAGTCAAATTAGAGGCAACCTCTACTGGAATAAACTGGGAAGTACAACTAAACAATGCTAATTCACAATGAGTCCCTGAGACCATAGGATAAGAAGATGGATGGATGGATGGATAGATTGAAATTTTTGTGGTCTGGCTACATTAGAAAGAATAAACAACTCCCAGCATAATACTCCCCCAAAAGAAAGAGAGAAATAAGAATAAAGTGTAAACACTCTTCTTGATTTCCAGTGAACGTGCCTTTCTGCTGCTGTCAGGGTCATTAAAATGCATGTGCATTTGGACTGTGTGTTGTGAACACTGGCTGTGTGTGCGGCTCTGCCCTGCAGCATGTGCTCCGAAGGAACGTGCGATGGCTGCTCTTTCCACTTCCTGTGGAGGACTCGGCACGCCTGCCCGCTCTGCTCTGCCCATCACTACAAGGAGATCATCAGTGGCTGCGATCAGGGCATCCAGGTAGCCAGAGATGCACTCGGGAGATACTGAGCAGTGGGAATTCAGACATTGATGATACACTGAACACATTATGCCCTGTTACACTGAGCACCATCACACTGTGTCATCACTGTCCTGTGTCCATAAGCACTGAAGTACTAAGACCCGGAGCAAATTTATAGCACTCTGGCACTGAACCGTCATGTTTGAATTCCTGTTTGAATTCATGCATGTGTATCTGTGTGTGTGTGTGTGTGTGTGTGTGTGTGTGTGTGTGTATGTGTGTGTGCATGCACCAGAGGACCACCTACGTGTGGCAGCAGCCTCTGCAGTGCAGTGGGGGGATCCCCCTCCCGGCTCAGAAACTCAGTGCCTGCGTCACTCTGGACTTCTGGCTCAAGTTTGGTGTCTTGACGGGGGGCGTGGCTGCCCTGCTGCTCGTTGTGCTCAGCTGTTACTTCTGGAAGAGGACACGCAGGTGAGGGGTGGGCCTGTAGGGGGTGCTGTGCAGACTGAGCAGTGATTGCATAAGTAAGCAATTGAAACAAATTCTTTATAAAACGTATAAAACGTGAGACTCACGCAATATATAGATAAATAGAGACTCCAGGCTCATGATGTGTATGTCTCTGCAGGCTACAGTATAAGTACTCTAAGTTGATCACGAACACTGGGGAGACAGAGTCCGACCTCCCTGCTGCAGACAGCTGTGCCATCATGGAGGGTGAGGACGCTGAGGACGATCTCATCTATCTCACCAAAAGGTCCATCTATGGCAAGATCAAGTCCTTCTCCAGACAGGTGTGCATATGTGTAACTGGCCTTAACAAATACAGTGTTTCTGTTTGTTTCACATGTCATGGGAGACCCTTCCAGGGGCAATTGCCTCCAAAAATATATCTCTTCCAGGGGGATACCAAGGTGTTCCTGGGTTTGCCCCGGGTTCGCATCTGGAATTTAAAAAAAGGAAAATGTTAAACATATGATTTTGCAGATCGATCCACTGCCCCCTGGCATTTTACTGGTATGTGAATTTTTGTAAGACATCAAAAGGTTGTGAACTCCTCTTTCAGACTATAATGGGTCATGGATTCTCTCAATTACAGCATATTTACAAATGGGGTGAGGTAAAGGCTTCACCCCTCCAGAATTGGGCATTTGAATGCTTTCTCTGTATTATGTGCCTGCAGATAGCATGTTCTTCCTGTGCTGCGCTGGTTTCCTTTAGGCACTCTGTTTCATGGTCCATTTTCCTGCAGTCCAAAGACCTGCAGTTAGGTTAATTGCGGAATCACACTGAGTGTGTGTGTGTATGTACTGCAATGAACTGGCATCCTGTCCAGAGTGTACCTCTGCCTTGTGCCATGTGTTTCCTCAGATAAGCTTCAGGCCAGCTGGATGGTATTTGCAGATATGAGATTGTATGTTTAAAAGACAACATCTATGGAACGTAACCTCAGGAGCCTGAGCTGGTGTGGGAGATAGAGAGATACTGACTATATATAGTCGGGCTCACCTCAACGCACAGCTTGGGTTCTGGAACCAAAATCCTAGAGAGGGGCTGGACTCTGTTCCACTCTGGTGTTGCCCATGGGGAGAGGCACCGAGCGGGGGAGGGTCTGCTTATAGCCCCCTGGTTCGGTGCCAGTGTGTTGGAGTATTAGTCCGATGGACAAGAGGGTTGGCTCCCTTCGACTTCGAGTCAGGGGAAGGGTTCTGATTGTTGTGTGCACGTATGCGCCAAACACCAGTCCAGAGTATCCGGCCTTCTTGAAGACCTTGAAGGGGGTGCTTGAATGGCGCTCCTTCTGGGGAATCCATTGCTCTGTGGAGGACTTTAATGCTTACATGGGTAATAACAGTGAAACCTAGAAGGGTGTGATTGGGAGGAATCACCTGCCCGATCAGAATCCGAGTGGTGATTAGTTATTTGATTTCCATGCTAACCACAGTTTGTCCTTAACGAATACCATGGTCAAACATAAGGGTGTTCATAAGTGCACTTGGCACCAGAGTACCCTAGGCCACAGTTCAATGATCGATTTTGTAATTGTATCATCGGATCTGCGTCTGCCTATTTTGGATACTCGGGTGACAGGTGGAGCTGAGCTGTCAACTGATCACCAGTTGATGGTGAGTTGGATCCAATAGCGGGGGAAGATGCTGGATAGACCTAATAGACCAAACATATAGTGAGGGTGTGCTGGGAGGTTCTGGCCAAAGGCCCCTGTCTTGAGAGATCTTCAACTCACACCTCTGGCAGAACTTCCCTTCTCTCCCAAGGGAGTCAGGGGACATTGAGTCTGAGCTTGGTTGGCTTGTGGGACTCCTAAAGCAGTTTTCAGGTTCAGGTAGATCAAGCGGAAAGTGGCTGTTTACAGCAGGGATGAAGAACTGTTGACCTCAACTGGGGATATAGTCGGGTGGTGGAAAGAAAACTTTGAGGATCTCCTGAATCCCACTGATATGCCTTCCTTGGAGGAAGTACAGCTTGAAGGGGGACCTGTTGAGGTCACTGAAGTAGTCAAAACAAATTTCAGTGGTAGGACTTGGGGGGGTGGATGAGATTCGTCCTGAGTCCCTGACGGCCCTTGATGTTTTTGGGCTGTCTTGGCTGACATGCCTCTTGGCATCATCATTTGATGACCTGCAGCATGTACTGGGCGATTTGCGGCTGAGTGTGAGGAGGCCAGAATCAGCACCTCCAAGTGGATCTGCACCTCCAAGTCTGAGGCCATGGTTCTCAACTGGAAAAGAGTGGATTACCCGCTCTGGGTGGGGGATGAGTTACTGCCCCAAATGGAGGAGTTTAAGTACCTCAGGGTCTTGTTTACGAGTGAGGGATGAAGGGAGCGGGAGATCGACAGACAGATCGGTCCCGTCCTCTCATGGCGAAGAGGGAGCTGAGCTGGAAGGCAAAGTTCTCAATTTACCAGTCAATCTACATTCCAAACCTCACCTATGATCATGAGCGCTGGGTAGTGACTGAAAGAATGAGATCGTGTATATAAGCGACTAAAATTAGTTTGCTCTGAAGGGTGGCTTGGCTCAGCTTTAGAGATCACAGACATTCAGGAGGGGCTCAAAGTAAAGCCACTGCTCCTCCACATCGAAAGGACCCAGTTGAAGTGGTTTGGGCATCTATCTAGGATGCCTCCTGGACGGCTCCCTGGGGAGATGCTTCAGACATGTCCAACCAGGAGGAGGCCCTGGGGCAGACCCAGGACATGCTGTAGAGATCATACCTCTGGGCTGGCCTGGGAACGCCTTGGTATCCCCCCGAGGAGCTGGAGTAGGTGGCTGGTGAGATGGAGGTCTGGGCATCCCTGCTACCCTATCCTGGATAAGTGGCAGAAAATGGATGGACGGATGGATGAACCTATGATTTCTACTATGTGACTTTAAAATTGTGTTAAAATGTTAATATAGAAAGATTAAGGCAAACAAATTTTCACAACAAAACAATGCAGTTCTGAGAGGAACATACAGTATATGGGTATCTCTGTATTAAATCATAATAAATGTTTGTGTGACTGGGTGTCTTTTCAGAGAACGTCAGATGGATTTGACTCCGTCCCTTTGAAGTCATCATCTGGCATGGAGATGGAGATGAATTGAACAGCTCAGCTGCAGAGCAGAAAGGTGGAGGTCTGCATGACCACAGGGGAGGGCACAGCAAGGACATGGACTGTGACATAAGCCTGATTTGGGCGAGTGTCACTCTGCCACCTTCTTCTCAGTGGATGTTCTACCTGAAACATTTTTTAATTATGATTTTGTCAGGTTTTGTTTAATGGTATCGCTCCGTCTCGGGATCCGGTGGAGTAAGTTTTTGTTAATATTTCTTTCCTGATGTTATTTTTCAAAGAAGATTTAAATCTTAATGTTTTATACTATATATATATATATATATATATATATATATATATATATATATATACACACATATACACACACACACACACACACACACACATATACTGTATATATATGTATATACAACATACCCATAACTGTGGAGTCTACCTTTCATCCAAAAATGTGCCAGCAGCTGTCCATCATGTTTATTTATTTCTTTGAATAGGGAAAATAAATTTTGATTGAATGTATCAGAAATTATATTTATTTTACATTGTTAAATTGTTCCCATAAGGTGTTTAGAGCTGTCCTTCATTTTCAATTATCTGAAGTGTGGTTGTAATCATGTTCTGAAAGAGTTTCCCTCATAGCTAGCTATTCTTTATACATTTACAATAATCTGTTATAATGTGTCAGACTTTCATGTTAAAGGTAAGACAGGTGTAACACTAATTCAATAGCCTATTATCGTGCTGGTATTCATACCATTGACCTTTACTCATGGCGACTGAGGATTAGCTGCAGCTCACAGTTTAGCAAAGTGTCCTGTTTGTTCAGCATTACTCTGCCTTGGTGATGCGGTTGGTTCAGTAGAAAATTAAAGCTACTCAAGCCTATTTTTAAAAAGGATTACATCTAGACAAAAATGTTGAAAATGCAAAGAGTTTGTTTATTGACATTGCAGTTGTTCCCATATTAGCAGACAGTTTTTTAGAACAAGAATGTACAGGTAGACTTTGGAAATAACAGTACTGTCATTTCATTGCAACTCTGCCATATCTTAATCTTACAGAAAGTACCACTTTCATACTACTGTAAATGCAAGTTCTAAGTGTAATTTAGTGTAACTGTACAGATAGCCAGGTTGCCTTACTATAATCTGAGCCTCTGGATGTTTGTTCTGTTCACATTATTTTCTGAAAGTCAGTGCTAAAGCTTTCTGTGTTACCGTTACAATGGGGACCCAAGCCCGTCTTATTGCCTTCTGGTGTATAAAATATTTTTTTCTGTACTGTGTAGTTTGTGAATAATTTTCTCAGTGTGAAACTTTACTAAACACTGCTGTGTTAAGATTTGCCTTTGACAGCTACTTAGATATTTCTGCTTCCAATCCATGGAATATCTATTTTTGTCTATTTATCATGCAACACTTAAAATGTTCTCACTAGTTTGAGTAACCATTTCACGTTGGATCACCATTCTCATCTAACTGCATTATCACAGTAGAAATTACTATTAAATTGATTTTTTTTTTGTTATTTATTAAAGTTTCAGAATGCATAACGGCCACACTGATTAAGACCTTCCAAATGGCCTTAAATCAAATCTGTTCTGTGGGTGGAATAATTAAGGGATTTTAATGATTAAGCACTGTGGTAAACTTGACTTGAGATGCTAGCCTTAGGGCAGCACTACACACAGTCTATAGGTGCCCCCTGCCCACCACCACCGGCATCTGCGTAACGATGTTAAGCGACTTGTGGTCATGGAAAAAATGAAATGTCACAACCTCACAACTGTTTGTTTTTATTGTTGCTGCCACTTCACCACCGACCGCTATATTTAACAAGGTTCAAGGGTCATCAGTTTAATGGCATTACTTTTATAAACGTTTCAGAAGCATTTTCGATTATGCTTGTTAATACTGAGGGTGCAAAGTGCACTTGCAATACACCTTAATCTAATTATTAACGTTCGTTGCATTATACCCTACATGAAAATTAAACAAACCTGTAGGTATCTAGAACAAGTTAGATAAAATGTCATACATTTTTATCAAGCACTGTTGACGTTGTATTATTAATATAAATTATTGGTCTTGTTGGTGGGGTTTTTAAAATCATTCGAAGCAACTTAGCATGATGTTAAAGAAAAGAAATGTTCACTTCCCTTTTCACTGCCCCCGCCCCATTAGGGAACAGAGCTGGAAAGACGAAGCCGGGGGCCGCCGCCGTACCGTGGGCGGAATCGTGCTCGGAAAGCAGCCGTCACACACACGCACGCACGCCGCTCCCCCAGCGCTCTCCGGAGGGTCGCCTTCGCAGCCATCGATCAGCTCTTTCCGGTCATCGCGATCATCCTCGTTTCTCAGCTGTCACGGCACTTTAACCCTCCGGTTCGTCCAGCTGGGCTCGTCCCAACCCAATCGAAAGAGGAAAAAAGTTTGACTTGCCGCCTTGCCTGCTGGAGTGCTTATCCTGCAGAAATGTCGCAGAAGGAGAGACCTACTTTCTACAGACAGGAACTGAATAAGACGATATGGGAGGTACCGGTGCGCTACCAGAACCTGAATCCAGTTGGATCCGGTGCCTACGGATCCGTATGGTAAAACATGCATTTAAAAATACTTTGTGCACAGACCAAGACGTTTTTTTTCCCGTCGATAACAGCCCCGTACATGGCAGCCGATCAGAGGCCTGTGAGCTTCAGTTGCACGCTGCGTCGCCGCTGAACTCGGCGCTCGCGCCCGGGCGCCGTCCCGAGCCGTCCTACGCGGACATGTTCCGCAGCTACGCCGCAGCCTCCCAGCATACATGTTCCAGTCGGTTAAAATGGTTGCACCTTTTGTTAAGTGCATCGACTGGGAAATAAATATCTTTACGTCGTGGTGTGATGTGTGGAGCTGTTCATTTGGTGCTGTTTATTCCCTGTCTCCGAGTCACCATTTTTGCTAGTATAGTGCAAGGAAGCCAATTAGGTACTTCCATAAGTATTTTCTGGAAGCATTTCTCTGTAGCATTTGTTAATGCATAGCAAGGTACCTAATTTAAGATGCACCCGATTTATCGATCGAGATGTTTTATTGGCTGCTGGCTAAGCGCTGTAATGTGCTTTGCGTGTATCTTTTGCTATAACGTTTGGCGTGTTTCTGTTTACCAGGGTTTTCCTGGTACCATGACTGCTTTGGGTGGTCTGCGGGCAGCGCCGATAGCATTATGCTAGCTGTGCATGGTTTCTGGTGATCAGAACTCCCTAAGCTTGATATGGAGAGACGCATCCACCCGGTTCCCTAGCCTTATAATCCAAGGACATGCCTGGCAAACCGAATGTGATCATCGCACTAGGACCGATTTGCTGTAACCAGCTATAAACCTCTGAGCCATAAGCAAATGTCGAGCTTAGTGCATGCTTAAGTATTCCAGAAATTTGAAAATCAATAAAAAATAAACCCCGTTTATTTTTCCTGCAACTGTGTTAGACCTGCGTCTCTAAAACGCGTTTTTCCATTTCAGACTTATTATACACTGGTGCATTATACCAGGACATTACTTGGTCAGTGTATTTTCTCCGTGGGATATATTTGCTGAGGCTTACAAGCGGGCCAAAGACTTTGCCTCTGGTCTGGGCGCCCTAGCTGCAATGTCAGGCCTACCCGCCGTGACTCATAGCGCCAGAATTAGGCATAAGTGTCGGACGCACATTCAGGGATTTTCCGCGCCGGGACTGTCGTTGAGGCCGATGGGCCGCCCGGGTAGTTCGGCCTGGACCAGTCCGGCACCTTCAAAAATGCTGCTTTTAACAGCACCGCCCTCACGACCGATTCTCCTCGTTTCTGATGTTCCCACGTTCACGTACTTCCTTAATGACTTTTTTTCTATGATTTTTTTAAAGCCGCTGTTTAATTCTTGTCCTCCTCAGCAGTCACACACCGTCGCCTTTGGATTTCCGCTGCAGTTTCTCGTTTAGACTTGCTTCAATACAGTGTAATATCATATTTAATGCTGGCCAGTGGTGCAGCCATGGTGTCTGCATCGCAGAACATGTTTCTTTGTCATAGAAAACCGGTACATAATTCTGTATTTTGTAGCTCTGGTGGATAATATCCCTTGTGGGCAGTACAATTAGATGTTTGAATAATTCTTAAAGTTTAATGTGTTGTCAGGTAACTGGCTCACAGGAAGCGTGTAACAGTAGTAATAATTTAAAAATACAAAACTCAGAAGCCCTGAAATACTCCAAATTGTCCTGCCCTTCGTTCACTTGTCTTTCTTCAAAATGGAGACATGCTTCTATGAGCGTTCAGATATTCCCCCCAGTCAAATAAGATTGCACAAATACTGCATACTCATAAGTTGTGTATAGTCATAATACTCAAGTATGGAATTAACTTTTGAAGTATTTTTATTTACAGTTTTAATTAAACTAGTTACTGTGAATCACATAATCTGTATTTAGTTATTACATTTATTTAGTCAGCTGACGGTTTTGTCCAAAGAGTTAAACTAGGGTGCTAGAGCATACATCATCTGACAAACATGCAGTCATCCAGCAGTAATGTTAGCACATTCCCTGCTATGGCGTCAGCTGCATATGCCTGTCCTGTCTTACTCTGCACGCTGACCGAGACTCTTACCCTCAGGACAGACTCATGCATGGTAATAAGAAGTTTAAACTTCATCTGGTCCTGAATCTTACCAAGTACTTGACTATTAATATACATACATAGCAAATGGTGTGACAGATACAATCAGTTAAAAAAAAAAAAAAGAAAAGAAAGAAACTCAGTCTCGAAATCTCTCAGCCTGAAAACTTTACAGCCAGCAGCCAAGAGACTGTGACCTTTCAGTGCTGTACACTGTCCAAATGGTCCATTCATCTTCAGGGAACATTTCCTTCTGTAAGTCAGTTTATACAATAAAAAACATTTCCAGACCACTTGGGACACTTTCCATAGGACTCTGGCTGTGTTTCTAGGAAGGAGCTCTTTGTGATTTTTATTGCCGCAGGGATACTTCACACATGACAAGAATTCTGTACGTTGTGTTTTACACTATGCACAGGGAGTCCCAGCACAGTGACCGTTGCTGTCTGCATGAAGGCTTGGCTGTGGCTGCATCAGATCCTGCTCTTCTGCATTGTTCCATGTCTCTCATGATGACGTGCTGTAGTCACAGCAAACAGGCTGGATAATGTTTGCATTGTTTGCCTTTCTCCATGAAATGGGGGGCACTGATGAAAGTCAGAATTGAACCTTTTCACCTGAGGGCTTATTTTCTTTTGTTTTGTGTGGGGTTTTTATTGTCATGTGAGATTGCCGTGACATTGGCCGCTGTGACGGGTCACTCTGGTTCAGGTCCAGCTGGCCTTTCTTGGGCAGCTTACTGTCATAAGACACCAGGTACCATACTTTTGATACTACAAGAAAGTACCAAAAATTTGGTACTTAAAAGTGTTGGTTTTCCTCTGGTGTAAGAACTGGTACCAGTGCCGAATGACATCACAATGCGAGGCGGGGATTTTGTACTGAATTAGTACTAGATATTAATACCAACATTGCATGTGTTGCGCATGCAATTCTAACATTGCTAGTCAGCTAGATTAAGATCAGGCTTTTTTTTACCTTTATACTGTATGAACATTATAGCGCAGGGGGGTAAAGTTTCACTAAAAACTTTTTTACTCTCAGAAAAAGAAATGTTACCTTGTTTTGCAATTTTAGTTATTCCTTTTATTGAGATCATGTAATGCATATTTAAAAATCAGTTTAAAGATTACCCCTGCGACTTTTACATTAGCACTGTATTCGTTCTCCGAGACAATCAGAATCATTTTCATCCTTGCTGTTTAAATCACTCCTAGATGGGTTTGTGAGAAATAAATGAACTTTTATAAATACCCCAACATTTTATTTTTTTTAACAACAAAATCTCATTGCTAGGACAGCACATTATATGCATGCTGTCCTACTATATTAAATAAAATACTTAAAAAAAAAAATTATTGACATGCCGTCCTGATCTTTTTGTTGTATCTTCCAACTAGATTGCATTTTTTTTGTTTGCCGTTTTTCTGGGTTTATAACTTTTTTTCAATTGTAGTAGATTTGGCGGTGTGACTCTTCTTAGGCAGAGATAACGGCAGAGGAGTCTCTGCTCAAAGGTGCTTTGGAAGCTATAGGGCCCGTTCCTGTATTTAGCTCTGTCCACTTGTGATCAGATCACCCAAAATGCACGTTTATACCAGGTGTGAACAGGGCAACAGTTGTTGATGTGTTTCCAGACTGGGATCAGTCACTCGGGATGCTGAAAACGTAACGCACCATTCAAAACTGGGATCATCAAGACTTGGGCTGTCCAACCTTTTCATTTCCATGGACCCGTTTATGTTGTACATAAACTTTACAGACTGATAAACAGTGTGGGGAGGGGTTACCGATGGATTAGTTAGTGCACCAGACAACGCGTGCTCGTGAGTGGCTGTAGAAAATTAAAATATGTACTTTATTTTTAGAAATTAACTAACCCCTCCACAAAACCCCCACTATGTTCTGGCATGCTGGAATACTAGCTGCAGCCGGGGGGGGTCGGGAATCCCTTTTGTCAATGTTGGGTGCATTGCATTTAAAGCTGCCTCAGGATCAACCATACCTCCCCCCCACCCCCCAGCTCATCGTACGACAGCAAGTCAGGGCTGAAGATTGCAGTGAAGAAGCTATCCCGTCCGTTCCAGTCCATCATCCATGCCAAGAGGACCTACCGCGAGCTGAGGCTTCTCAAACACATGAAACATGAAAACGTGAGTGAGTTCCCACCCCCAGTCCCAGCTGCACACAAATAAGGGCACCTCTGTTTGGGTGGCGTACCTGCAGCAAGCTTAGTGTTGTTAGACTGGTTTTCAGTTAGCAGGCTTAGTGTGTGTGTGTTAGTTTTTTTAAGATTGTTTTAACACTCTGGCTCAGATGCTATTTATATTAATGAAGGACAGCTGTTCTAGTTAAGAAAGCTAACCAATCAGACGCAATGACAGCTGTTCTAGTTAAGAAAGTTAACCAATCAGACACAATGACAGCTATGCTAGTTAAGAAAGCTGACCAAGCAGACGCAATGACAGCTGTGCTAGTTAAGAAAGCTGACCAACCAGACGCAGTGACAGCTGTGCTAGTTAAGAAAGCTGACCAACCAGACGCAATGACAGCTGTGCTAGTTAAGAAAGCTGACCAACCAGACACAATGACAGCTGTGCTAGTTAAGAAAGCTGACCAACCAGACGCAGTGACAGCTGTGCTAGTTAAGAAAGCTGACCAACCAGATGCAATGCTGCCCACAGGTGATTGGGCTCCTGGATGTCTTCACGCCAGCGACCAGCTTGGAGGAGTTTAATGATGTGTAAGTGACCCATGGGGGGGGGGTGTTGTGGGCATTCCAAGGCATGTGCACACGCACAGGCTCTGCCATTACAGCATCCGCACCAACAACCGCGTGGATGTATTAATGTACGAATACACGGGAGGCTGACAAACACTGGCGTAGCTCATTTCACCAGGTTTTCCAGGGGCACAGAGGAGATAGGAAACTGCTTAGTTTGTCTCACTGCTGATCATCACCCTGATAAATATATCATTAGATTACAGTATGTTTAGAACTCTGCTGCCTGTTTACTTACACACACTAAAAAATCTGCTGACATCACTCCTGTCCTCCATGGTTGCCAGTTTCTTCCAGAAGCGAATATGAAATGATACTCATCACCTCTAAAGCCCTGCATGGTTTAGCCTCTGACCGTCTGTCTGAGCTACTGCTTCCTTTCACTCCAGCCCATGCATTAAGATCATCCGATGCAGACTTACTCACTGTACCTAAGCACAGGTTATCAACTATGGGTGGCAGAGCATTTAGTGTAACAGCTCCTAAAATTCAGAATGCTCTTCCTCATGATCTTTGTGAAGAAAACTCTTTTATCGACTTCAAGCTCCTGTTAAAAACACATCTCTTCAATGAATATTATTTGTCTTCTTGTACGTAACATGTACAAGATGTAAAATTGAAGTTTAAATAGTAAAGTGTCCTTGAGTATATGAAAGGCACTGTATAAATAAAACATATTATTAATAACCCTTTTACCGATTTCATAACGTGTTCTTTTGCTCTTATATTGATGGTAATATCATTGAGGGCTCTTTTGATCTACCCGGCAGGTACTTGGTGACTCATCTCATGGGTGCCGACCTCAACAACATTGTCAAGTGTCAGAAGCTCACGGACGACCACGTGCAGTTCCTCATCTATCAGATTCTGCGGGGGTTAAAGGTCAGCCGTGTCACCTAGTACAGCCCAGTGCATGAGCTTTGCTGTATATCATTCAAACTAGTGATGCTCCGATTGATCGGCCACCGATCATGATCGGCCGATATTGGCTAAAAATAGCTTGATCGGCGAACCCCAAAAGCGGCGATCAAAAAAGCCGATCACTTGACATAAATTACTCGCGCGACTTTTTCACACGTGCATGCACGGCGCACAGGTAAACAACAGCAGAGCGGAGCTTACTAGTGGCAACATGAGTTCTCCCGTCTGGAAGTTTTTCAAAGTGTCCGATAAGAGTAGCCGTTTGCAATGAATGTCGTGATGAAATCCCTCGAGGTGGAAGCAAGCAACGGCATTTTAACACCACTAACATGATTAGGCATCTTAGAACACGCCATACAACTGAATATGCCGAGTATGAGAAACTAAACCACTCTACTCTCGGGGAACATTTCATGTGTTGACCCTGGAGGTGTCAGGCAACAGTGCTGACCAAAGTGTCACTGCCCCTCCTTCAGTGTGGGGCGCCAAGTGTCAAGCGCTTAATTCTTCAAGATCTTGACTGTAGCCTATTTCTACAGTTTTTTTTTTTCTTTCAATATAGTTAATTTAGAGTTAGTTTCATTTCTACAAATGGTGCAAACTCCCATTTCCCTGCCATTCTGTGATCGGCAGTGATCGGCAATCGACAGATCATGATCTTGGTGATCGGTAATCGGTGATCGGCCCCAAAAATGCTGATCGGAGCATCTCTAATTCAAACATTGAATTTGAACTTCACTTTTCTTTTTCAGTACATCCACTCCGCTGACATCATCCACCGAGTAAGTTCTGAGTGTTCTGCTCTCATGACCTGTGAATTTGGCTTGACTGTTAACCAAGGCTGCAGTTAGGCCTGCCTTCCGTATAACTCCTGACCCAGAGAGTTGACATTGCTAACGTGTACTTGCGTCAGTGATTGCAGTTGGCTCTGATTGGCTTGTGTGACTGACTTCCTGCATAGACCACCCTCTCACGTCCCCATGTGTCGCCCCTCCAGGACCTTAAACCCAGTAACCTGGCTGTAAATGAGGACTGTGAGCTGAAGGTAAGTAGGCTCTCTCCGTGGGGTCGGTGGGAGCCTTGGGCAGCATCGTTCTTCGTTTCTTTTGGAAGATCATCACTTCAAAAATAGACAGTGTACCAGGAGGGGGACTCACTCTCCTCCAAGGCTTCACACTTCCATTTATGGAACGCTACAGTTCAGATAATGGAAAATCCAAAAAAAGCCTGTATATGGCCTTGAAGGTCTTGCCAGCAGAGGTCACTCTTCCATGCATCTGTTCCAGATCCTGGACTTTGGCCTGGCACGGCACAGCGATGAGGAGATGACGGGCTATGTGGCGACGCGCTGGTACCGTGCACCAGAGATCATGCTCAACTGGATGCACTACAACATGACAGGTGACGTGTTGCCACTGCAAGCTGCTGCTGCACTCTCCCGATTTGTGGGGGCGGGGCTGTGGCTGTAGCTGGACCCTGATTGGCAGTTGTGTCTCCCTTTGGTGCCGCCCTCCGCATGCTGCTGCTGCCCTCTCCCTGCTCATGGGGGCAGGGCAATGGCTGTAGCTGGACCCTGATTGGCAGTTGTGAGACTCTCCCTTTGGTGCTGCCCTCCTCATGCTGCTGCTGCCCTCTCCCTGCTCATGGGGGCAGGGTTGTTGCTGTAGTTGGACCCTGATTGGCAGTTGTGGGACTTTCCCTTTTGTCTTTGTGCCTCTCCAGTGGACATCTGGTCTGTGGGCTGCATCATGGCTGAGCTTCTCACAGGGCGGACCCTATTTCCCGGCACCGACCGTATCCTTTAATTATTATCCTTTTTTTTTTCTTTTCATTATTTTTAGGTTTTAATTTTGAATCCCCAAATCTTTTCACAGATTGAGTCCTTCACAGGTGTGATCCACATATGTATTGTGCAGTGTGTTATAGCTCATAACCGTAGCCCTTTGCCATGTGATGCATGCTAGGCCACATGCCATGATGGGGTTTGGGACAGCAGATGACAAGAACATGGGACCCATAAGGTTGTTGGTTCAAGGATCTTGTTCTAGTACTGATAAGTAATTATGGCAAAATCTGTGTTCCCCTGCATTACGTTAACTGGGTATTATGTACACGTGCAACATTGGAGTCCACTCTTACGCCGGAGAAGCTGCAACTTCACTCTGAAGAAGAACAAGGAATTGTTAGCACCAGACCTCTCCTTCACTGCACCCTGTTAAAAAAAGCGGTGGCCGAAATTCCCACAGGAACTCACACCGTGGTGTTTTACTTAGGATTAGACATTTTATTTTATTTTAAATGAACACTAACGCAGAGGGCTATTTAATATAAACATTTCATGAGACCTTGAATATCCACAGTGAAACTTTACAAGTGACTGAACTTGAGGCCCATTTTCAATTTTCCATGGTCTGCGTGTTTAGTCCTCTGGCCAATAGATCACTTCAGTAGCCTTGATTGACAGGTCAGCCCCTCCCCTGTTTTCCTTTATGATGATTTGATAGATATTGATCAGTTGAAGCTAATTATGCTGCTTGTTGGAACTCCAGGGCCAGAGCTCTTGAAGAAAATATCTTCAGAGTCTGTGAGTGGGGGTTTCTTGTTCCGTCTTTTTATTTTGTTGCCTGTTTCTCCGTCCATCTCTTGATCTATGATTGCAGCTGTTTTTATGCTTGTCCTCAAGGAAACTATGGTTTCAAAGCTGCTTCCCCTTTCCTCTTTTTAATGTCACCCTGACCTGGGACGCTAAGGGTGCTCTCTAAAATCAGCTCTTCCCACTGTTGCTGAATCATTGGGTGTCATTTTCTTTATCCTTTTGTTTGAGGGCAGGGGAACCACCACAGGTATGACTATTTGTGTTTATCCTTGACATTTTCTAGCGGGGTTTATGGGGGGTGGGGGTCCTGTCCTTCAGTTTTCACTGCTATTTTCACTGCAGCCGGTGGCGTCGACTGAATGATGTGCTTTGCTTTTCCACTTGCCCTCTTTCCGCTTGGGTGTTGACGCCTTCTCTAAGAGCATGTTTGTTTGCTCACTCTGCACGCACCATTCAGCCTTCCTGCACCCCAGCCTCTCACACACTAAATCCCTGTAGGCCTTAGGGCCGCCATAGGCCAGGGACAAGGTCCAGGGTGGGTTTCTCAGGGTAGGGATGCCCGTGCGATGCTCTGCCGCTTGCCTAATCTGTGCTATAACGCCTTGACCTGTGCCGCAAAGATATAAACCAGCTTCAGCAGATAATGCGGCTGACGGGGACCCCCCCCGCCTCGCTAATAAGCAGGATGCCCAGCCACGAGGTGAGCCGCTGCCTCTACTCCACACCCACCCCACACGTTTGCTTCTGCCTCTTTGCCCTGCTTTAGGTTGCTTGTCCAAACACCGATACTCCGGTATTCAACCCAAAAAATCGGCTTCAGTCACAGTACAACTGGCGCCTTGGTACTGTGAAAATTTCGATTAAATGGCATGATTTGTACACTTAGGGAGGGGGAGGTATAAAGGCCGGTTCGTACTTCACTTTTCTGTGTGCGCTTTTGGGCTGCGGACGGCCGTGTGCTTGTCATCGTAATAAATTTGGCTGTGGATGCAGATGGTCGCGGTCGGTGCTGCAAACAGCAGTGATACTCCACCAGACCAGCAGAGGGCAGATGTATTGCGACAAACACAAATACAAGCAGTGTAGTGAAACAGGTAAACTTTTATGAACGGTATTAAAATTATTAGTCAAGGCTTGGCCGGTATTATGGTAACAAGGCATACCACAGTATTTTCAAATGTTTACGACGAAATTAGCCAGGACCCAAACCCCCCCCAACTGCTTGGGAAATTGTATTGCCAAGATTTCAAATTGCCCAAATGTTGCTGCTATACCAGATACCAGATGACTTGGTATAATGTCTGGACAGTATGAATAATTAGATATGCAGGTACCCCTAACCGTCCTCATACAGCCGCTCACTATAACTACAACAACAACTATGCTTTCTCTACTCTTTTGTCATTGACCGCTGATTTGTGAAAGTCCACGCTGCCACCTACTGGAAATGCCTAATCGATTAACGTGCACATGCGCGGTCGATGCGGACGGACGTGCTTGGTTTTCACTAGAAAATCTGGCCTACGTGCATACCAGTCACAGCTACCCCCGATCACAAACGAAAGAAAAGTAAAGTATGAATTGGCCTTAACAGACCCCTGGGGCTTCCCATCGCTTCCTGTGAAAACTGAATAAAATTAACATCATCTGGCTTTACTCTGCAAAAAATGTTTAATTATTAATTTAAATAAGGGTAAAGATAAAATAAATAGTACACTGCACTCAAAGCTCCCCTAATCCAGTGTTCCCCAGCCTGGTCCTCAGGGAGCCCCAGACAGAGCTGGGAGGGACTGACTGGGAGCCCCCAAGGACCGGGCTGGGAGGGACTGGCCCAGTCTGTGATGCTGCTCTTCCTCCATCACCCCACCTCCTGGCTTCACCCCTGGGGCTTTTCCAAGGCCAGATTAGCACCATGCCCGTCTGCAGCTCCCAAAGCAGTTTGCTCATTTATTTATGCTTAATAATTATTTCTTTTAAATGAAAGGCACACAGATCTCGCCATGGATAGCAGTGATCTAGATTGTTTGGATCGTCAGCAGAAATCACTTTGGGAGTTCAGACTACAGTCATGAGCAGACCTAATGATCAACAGCTACCAGGAGCTTCTGTCCTCCAGAAATGGATGATGTTGGATTGGATTACTCAGATTAGGGAGGAGATGATGTCTGGACTCCCAAGTGTTGCTGTGTTTTTGTTGTTGGTAAGTGCTTCTTGTTTAGCATGTCCTGAGCTGCCTGCACGCACATTTGTTCTGCTGTTCGGACAGGCCAGAAACTACATCAGCTCTCTGGCCCAGATGCCCAAGAGGAACTTTGCTGACGTGTTCATTGGAGCAAATCCACAGGGTAAGACGTGTAACCAGGGAGCCGAGTGAGAAACAGAAGGTGTTTCTACAGGGAGGCATCACGTTTGAGTGCATTACAGAATTCCATGAGAGCTGAGCAGATGCTCCTGATATTGCATGCTGCCTCTCGGGAACTAAAGATCACGGCGAGTTATGGGGAGCTGAAGCGTAATCCTGGCTCTCCCTCACGTTAGCCGTAGACCTGCTGGAGAAGATGCTGGTCCTGGACACCGATAAGCGGATCACGGCAGCCGAAGCTCTGGCCCACCCGTATTTTTCCCAGTACCATGACCCAGATGACGAGCCTGAAGCAGAACCCTATGACCAGAGCTTTGAGAGCCGCGAGTTGGATATTGAGGAGTGGAAACGTGAGTGGGGGGGAGAGGGGTTGCTCTGTGAGAAACTCATTGTATCTGATCTTATTTTCCTTGGGTGCAAACTTTTACTACAAAACCATGCTAGGTCTTATAGTACAGTATATAGTACAGGATGTATAAGAAAAATAAAAGTAAAATGAAGTTCACATTTTAATTGGATTGTTGTTTCATGCATAATTTGAATGTGCTCTTTACAGACCTGCTAGTGTCTTTTAATGGTATAATTGAAGAAAAATGATTTCTTCCCTATTTGTCTTCCCATCTTGCCAGGACTCACCTACGAGGAAGTGATCAGCTTCAAGCCCCCGGTTTTAGACTGTGAGATGGAGATGTGAGAGCGAGTGCCGGCAGCATGCTCCCACCGCTGCCCCACCCCCTCACACCATGTGGACTGGTACTGGTGGACAGACTGTTTAGTACTGGTGCTGACACTGGCTTCCCTCCTAGGTTTGAGGTTCAGTGGGCAAAGGGCTCAGACTTCAGCCTGAGGCGCTTCTCCATGAGTCTCCCTGCATGCGGTGTGGTCATGCTTTGGTTGGGTCTCAGGACTGCAGTATTTTTAAGCAGGTGTGTTATTGCACAGTGAGGTATGATGTGGGGGGGAAAAAATCGGTTAGCAGTTATTTTTCAAATTTTGGACAACGGTCTCACTTGAAAATGTCTTATTTTTGTAGTGAATGGATGCAGATTTGAAGGGTAAATTATTTCTTTAGTCCACCACATTATCAGCAGTGTCTAATCCTCTCATGTTTGACATTTTAAGAATGAGTGGAAGACAGTACACCTGTTGTTGCTATGAAAAATTGCCTTTCTTTCTCTTAAACATGAAAATGTGTCAACCCTTGATTCCCAGGATTTGGGAAGGGGACAGTCACTGGATTCTGGCCCAAAAGGCCTAATTTATCATCAGAAACTTGAGTAATTTGCTGGTGTGGTTTGGGAAATGTTTCCACAGTTTGAAGTACGAAACAATTTTGCAGCACTGGGCTGGACCAGAACCTCCCCACACGACAATGTACATGCGGGACCCACCAAGGTGTCAGCCAGTATCCGCCTTTCACATCATGCGGTGCCCAGTTGTTTTTCCCCATTTTAGTTGTTTTGAGTCTTCAGGGTATTTAATAAGAAAAGAAATCTCACTATCCCTTGTTATCTGGTCTTTTTCCCCTACCCCAAACTCCAACTGGTCCCAGTGTCAGACTTCTGGAATGTTACTGACCTAGAGGGTAGACCAGCTCAATCCTCAGCTACACAGGCGGAGACCATCCGGGACGTAACGGAAGTCCCACACAGTACAATCTCCTCTGAACTACCACAATATAATCCAATTTGTAAATGTATTTTTATACAACAAAATAGAATCATCAGGCCAAAAACCAGTATGCCTTCAAAGACCATTTGAGTGTGGTAGTATTGTAAGGTTGTTCTGTTTAGTGTTCTGTATAATTCCTGGCTGAATTGACAAGTGGATCTTGCTGGAAACAGTCTTGTTCATTTCCAATAGTCTGCCAGAGGCCTCTGAACGACAACAAAGAGCCCCAAGTTTGTTTCATAAAATACAAGTACTCCAAAATGTAAATAAATACTAGTTACTGCCTTCTGTGCTGTTGTCTTCATCACACTGCATTTTGATTATTTCATCAGCATTATCTGTATGGAGTTTGTCTTTTTGTCTTTAATGGTGTACTTAATGTAGCTGGACAGTCACGTGAATATCTGATGTTATGGCAAGAAGCATTGTATTGAGACTGTTGACTTAGTTTTTTGCTGGATGATGAACATGCTTTACTTATAAAGATTTCAAGACCACTATTTTATGTACTGAATTCATCCACCACACTGGGCTGTGTGAACGTTAACATTAAGTACCACTTTAAAATAAAGGCTATTTTGTACTGTTTTCTTTTACATGGCCTGCTTTACGCTTGGATCTTACTGTAATTATCGTTAGATGGTTTTCAGATGTACAAGTGTGAAAACTGGGTCTGATCATTTTCTCGTGTAGCTTTGGATGAATGACGCAAAACAAGATGCAGTTTGAGCATTAATTGGCAAAAAAAAACTTAATATTCATGAATAGAGGTAATCGAGCATGGTATTAAAGATGGAAGGTCTCCTACTTGAATTACAAGAACACATTTTCCAGTCGTGGGTTCCACGACACTTGATTTGCCTTTTTAAAACGGTTTTGTGGAATCATTTAGCAAATCGTTTAAAAACAAACGTCAAATACTTTGTTACTGGTTAATACCATTTAGCAAAAGTCATGTTTTTTAATTACTGTTCATAAAACCTGAAAACAACTTTTGCACATTTTGAGGATATTATTACATAATGTGCACTGTGTATTCATACTGGATTCTCTAAATAAAAACAAATAAACCACACTATATAAACTAAGTTCAAAAACCAAAATGAGCAATAATAACACTGCAGCTGATTAACTTAACCTTGTTACTTAATCCATCACTTAGGTTCCAATGTAATGATAAGAAAAACATTTCAAATGAGAAAAGAAAACAGTTACATCACGTTCAGAATTTTAATGGTTCTTAAAGCAGCAGGTCTCATCAATTCTTGAAACACTTCACAGTAGAAATGTCAGTGTATTGCTTCACAGCATATGAAACACAATCCTAAATAAATATGAAACTGACGTGCCTCAGTTGTAGGCTGCTTTGGAGAAAACTTTAAATGTAATTAGATGGATGGATGAAAAAGTATATGAACCCTTCAGAATTACCTGTTATTCTGCAAATGGGGCATAAAATGTGATCTGATCTTCATCTAAGTTACAATAATTAACAAAGACTAAAAAAAAGACAAATTATTGTAATTTTCTTACCCAGACCTTACCCCTATAGAGGTGATGTGGAATGATGTGAGAGAGCTGTAGTCTCCAAACATCCTATGAATACAGTTCAGCTGAAGCAGTTCTGTAAGAAAGAATGGTCCAAGAATAATAATAATAATATTATCCAAGAATCCTCCTGAATGTCCTACAAGTCTGATCCCCAAGTACCAGAAGCGCTTCTTTGAGGTTATTGCTGCCAAAAGAGGTTACTAGTTAATATACTTACTTTTTCCAACCTACACTGTGAATGTTTGAATGATGTGTTCAATATATACAAGAGTGTTCATTATTGGAACTTTCTAATGTAGAAAGCCAGGTGATTCCAAAGGGTTCACATTTTTCTAGCAGCTGTCGATAGACATATCCATGGAGTATTAAACATAGGCTCTCGATGCATTCTCCATGTGTCAATCTCTTGAGAAGTCTGTTGCCTAAACCATTTCATTAATCTGAGTATTGCAATTAGAAAAACACATCAAGACCATGGGTAAATATCTTACACCTTAGATAACAAAATATTCTGAGAATAATTTACTTTTTGTCTTTAAAATAAACGGAATCACACTTTCGTATTTGGTGTTTATGAAAACTGTCAATGCAGACGTAATAGGTATATTGCAAATGAAACGTTTCATTATCTTGTTTGGTTGTCTACTTGGCCATTACAAGCCTTTTGTCTATCTAAACTTTTCTAAAGACAACCACTAGATGGCGCATGGCGTTCATTACATGTCTGGAAAATCTCCTTTTCTGTAGCCCTCTTAAACAGTTACTAATTTAGAGAAGTTGTTAAAAAAACATTTAAACAAAAAGGAAATATATAAAATAAAACAATTTCAGCTCACGACTTGCCCTAATAGTACTAAAAATGCTACTTTTAGGTTTGATGTGCAGATTGTTCAAAATAGGTACGAAAATAAATTTTGCTTTCTGTCCTTGTTTTGCAATGTTTAATTTTTCTTAATTCGTTTAAATTAACAGCGAATATGATTAGCTATTTAAAATGTACCGGAGAGTCGAGGCGGATCTATAACCCAGCGAGGCGTGGACAAAGAGTCGCGTTGTTTGTGAACGATTCCCGATTCGCGCATGCGCAAGACGAGAACCGCCAGTCCAACATGGAGAGGAAAGGTAATTTTTATTATATATATATTGATCATCCGATCGTTAGGATTCTCAATAAGAACTAATTATTTTTGCTGTATTTTATAGATGTAAGTTTAAGCTATTGTACGTAACCAGTTGAATATGTAACTGTATGCCTTTTGCACAAATATACACGGTTGACTGCCATGGAAAGCCAAATCGGAAGCTCGTGGTCAATCAGCCTACAGGAAAAGTGCACGATATGTGTATAATAAGTTATCCTGATATTGTTCGCAAATGTATGTGGAAATTAAGTATAGTTGTCCTTTAGGTCATTAGTTGTTTCGTCTATATGGTTCCTGGAGCTACTTTCTTGGATTTTGATTTGATAAGACTATATACAAACACACGTATATCTGTAAATCGTAGACATTAGTTTTATAAACTAAACCGTATCATGTAGTTGTCACACGGATGGATAGAAGGAAGAAATATGATTCAGAAACAAAATGTCATTTATGTTCATTGCGGAAGTTTAAACAAACGGAGTTTAAAAATACGAGCGGACCGTGGATGCGGATTAAAGTTTCGTTTATTTGTGGCTTTTCGTTACATGACAGTCCTAGCGCTGCAAGCGAGGAAGAAGCGTGGCAAGGCGAAGAAACCCAGTAAAAAGTAAGTGTTTTGTACCGCTGCGCTTCCCGGCTAACGGGTGACCCGGTGTGCCGGACTAGGCCGCTGACGCGTCGCCGCAACGAGGAGGCTGATGCCGGCTGGATTCCGGCTGGATTCCCCCTACAGGACCGGCCACGGGCTGCTGGTCACCTTCCATAACGGCTACATCGAAACTAGTTTCGACTTTCACTTTAGTTTGTGGTATATACTTATAATGTGTTGATTTCGGCGGCTCATAGGTCTGACGTTAACAGGAATACTTGTTGGGAGCTAAGAGAATGACTTGTCTTTTGAGGCCGGCTCGGTTAGTAATCTTCGTGGAAGTTTGCCTTAATAGTGAGTCCACTCTGAAGCGGCGGTTATTTCCGTTCCCCACCTTATTTCCGCCCTTTTGGACGGTGTTTCGTTTCTCACGCTTCTCATACTGTGCCAGGTTATAGGCTCTCTGATTTACGGGAAGCTGTGACGGCCTGCTGTATAAATACTATGCAGACATTTCCGGCCCACGTGTAGTTGTTGATCTTGTTGATTTAGTTGTTTTGATGAATGAGAGCATCTGATTATTATTATTGCAACGATTGCTGATTAGTGTATAGCTATTTGTGTTCCATGTGCCTAGGACCGACAGAAGCCACTCTTGTCACGTTAGTGGCTTTAATATGGTGATTCCCTGCTAGACAGATGCATGCACTATGGCCCGTAGATTTGAGCCCTGCTTTCCCTCCACCTGTTGTCTGACAGCGATGCTGTTACCCTGAGGTGTCGGTGGTCCCTGGTGATTTAACATCAGTTCAGGAGTCTCCCGTCATTTCACACACATGGTTGATGGCTCACTGCTATATTTAATTTGCATGGATCCTACTCCCCACCTTACTGCCTGGCCCAACAAACGTGACTCTGGTCTTACAAGATCTTTAAATAGATTGGCTCATGGGTCTAAAATACCCCCTGCCTTCACTGCAGGGCTGCTCAATGACAAAGATACAGTTTTTTTCTTTTTTTTGCAAGAACCATAAGAAATGAGTCCCTGTCCTGTCTATGTAGGTAGTGAATTCTGGAGTGGTGGGAGAGGAGGACATAAATGTAATAGGCTTTCGTTTATAAGCCAGGTTACACTTTGGCTCACATTTTACTTCAGCAGTGTGAGGGAATGCTGGCCCCTCTATGAGGGGCGTGTGCATTAGGGTGGGGTGTGGGTAATGGGGGTGGGGGGCTAGTGGGTAGTGGACAGTATTTTTTTTTTGCATCCCCCCCCCCTCCTGAGAGTAGTATTTTGTCTTCCGAGGTCATGCAGCCTTTTCCTGTATATGTCCAATAAAAAGGGAACCTGGGAGAGAATAAGCTCTTTGTATTCTGGCTTGGTGGATGCTATTGCATATGTGGCTAGACATGGTAGCATCAGTTTGGAACCAGTTTGGAAACAACCTATGTAGCTTAGCTTCAATAGATTGTTGCCAGGATCTCACATTTGTTCCTAGAACTTAAATCTGCCACTGAAATCCATTTCTTACATGCTGATGTGGAATTTCTTATGAGAAGGCTAGTACGAATTCTAATTTTGCTCACACAATGCTCACCCTCCTCGTTCTGAATTGCATTGCGTTAAAATGCCCATTGAACTTCAGCTATGATGATATTTATTGTTCCGCTCACTTTCCCCATATTTACGTCTTGGATTTCGCTTCCTTTTTACTGTCACAATGAGATTTTTCTTGTGCTTTTCTATAACAATCCAGAAAAACTCTTTGCTATTTTGGGTTACGTTAGTTGTTTAAAGTTTGTTTAATAGAAGATGTAACAACATTTTTGTCCATACTGGGGAGGAGAGCTAATCAGTTGGAATTGCCTTGTCATTTTGCTTACTTTTATTTTTAAGTAGAATTAGGTCTTGCATTCTAATTGGCTATCATACCACTTTTATAATTAGTCATGGGAGAACTGGGTCCAAAATGAACATAAGTCATTTACAAACGAGAGGAAGCCGAGCCATTCTTCTCATCAGGATCATTTAGGGAGCATTCAACTAATAGCTCAGAGTTGTTAAAATCTTATCTAGCGCTGATTTAAAGGAACCCAAGGTTTTAGCTTGCACTACACTAACAGGGAGACTATTCCACACTCTAACTGTATGCTGTGTAAAGAAGTGATTTCTCAAATTCATTTTAAAATCTTCTCCCACTAATTTTGACCTATAGCCATGAGTTCTAGTATTTAAACTAATATTGAAGTAGCCATTTGGCTGAACAGCATCCAGACCCATTAGAATCTTATAGACCTGGATAATGTGCCCCCTTAGTCTCCTTTGCTCAAGGCTGAACAGATTCAGCTCAGCTAACCTCTCCTCATAAGACATTCCTCTAAGACCAGGAATCATTCTACGTTGAACCCTTTCAAAGGCAGCAATGTCCTTCTTAAGGTATGGCGACCAAACCTGCACACAGTATTCTAGGTGGGGTCTTACCAGGGAATTGTATAATCTTACTATTATACCTTAGTATCCTGCAGATGAGTGACTTCAGCTTTTAGAGCTCTTTCGGAGTTCAAATATTGGAGGAAACTTTTTAACGTTATCCTTAGCCTCTGATGCAGTTGTCCTTTCAACATTCCTCTTAGCAAGTCTAATACTATTGTTTAACTCTTAGATACTCCTGCTTTATTGCAACGTCACTAGTTATTTCCCATTTATGGAACAAATCCCTTTTCCTCTTGTTATTTAACTCCATCCAGTTTACACTGTCTAGTTTCAGTCTCATACCAGTGAAGTTAGCCTTCCTAACATTGTATGTTTTTTGTTTTGTACTTTGCTTTTCAGACACTAAAATTAACCTTGAATTTAACCATGTTATGATCTCTACTGAGTGGATCTAAAAACCCAAATTTTCCAATCCTATCCTGGTTATTTGAAAACACAAGATCGAGAATGGCTTCTCCTCTGATAGGGGATTTAACAAACTGAGGAAAAAAGCAATCCTGTACCAATTCCACCATCTCAAGTTCATTATTCTTCAAGTTCATTATAGTTCTTATTATAGATCAAGTTCAATTCAATTGCTGTAGAATTAATTTTTAATTGCTTTTACCACTGGTTTTGGTTCATGTCTGCTTTATTTTGTGTTTGTTGACTCATTTTATGGTCTTATGTAATGTGTGAAATTCATTGAATGCTGGTTGTTATGGATGTAAAATGGCCAATTTGCTTAGGAGGGCTTTTTAAATTACAAATAATATTAAAATCTAAATTGAAGCCCCCCCCCCCCCCCACCACGGTATTTCATGATATTTTGCTTTGATTCTGAGAGAGTTCAGGTAATTAGCTGTAATGGACTTTCAGAATATTTTCAGCTGCCTTAGAGGAACAAACAAGAAAATGGCTCTTAACGACGTGCATTGCTAGAGAATCATGCTGCTGGGCATCTTGTTGCTTTTCCTGCTGTCTATCTATAATAAGCATAGTTAGTTGGTTCCTTCAAAAAAGTCATATTCCTATACTGTCATTTGAATGACCATAAATGCACTATTTGTCATTAGTGGCTTGTGGCCTTCTGAGGTCTGCCTCTTTCCTCTGTTTCCCTGCAGGTCAGAACTACACTCTAGGGGGGTCTCTCAGCAAGTGGAGTCACCTCCTCCGGAGCCGGAAGAAGAGATCCTGGGGTCCGATGACGAGGAGCAGGAGGACCCCAGTGATTATTGCAAAGGTGAAGCCTTTGACATATTCACCATGATGTTTTTAAGAACCCCAGGGGCGGAGCTCAGGGTGTTCTGCTTTCTGGTTTTTCTTGCAGCTTGTACTACTGTGCATTTCAAACTGTAATCTGGTTAGGATGTCACTTTTTCCTGTACTAGATGTGGTTCCATCACTGCATTTGAAGTTCAGGCTGTGGAAGCTGTCAGCCTCATCTTAACCTTCAAACCTACTTCTCTGTGTAGGTGGCTACCATCACGTCAAGGTTGGGGATCTGTTCAATGGACGGTACCACGTCATCCGCAAGCTGGGCTGGGGCCACTTTTCCACTGTGTGGCTCTGCTGGGACATTCAGTGAGTAGCTGAAAGATGCCTGCTGCCCTCTTATCATCCTGCCATCTGACCCATCCTCACACATGAACTATGGACATTGTCTGGAGAATCAGGTCCGGACATTCACATTTGTGTCCATCCACAAATGTAGCACACAACCGGACACTGTCAGTTACGTTCACATCTACTAGAAATACTCCAGTTAGTTTAGAGGAGGGTGGTGCTTCGGTAGAGAATGCAGGAGGCAGGACATGATGCAAAAAGAATGCTACGGAAATGGTTTTGTTTACACTACTCCTGACAGAAGTTCCCGAATCTCGTCTTCTCTCCAGTTAGCCATGTTCGTTGGGGTCTTCATGCAAATGACTCTTCTTCTTCACCCTCAGATGTCCTTATACTTCAGTTTTCTTGCCAGTTGCATGATAGCAATGTCACTAACACACCTAATCACTTTTGGTAAATTCTCCAGAATTTTCTCCGCACCATTCACACAAGGCAGTCAATCGGAAATTATTTGTACTAGGAAGCTATCGGTAGATTCTGGTATGACTAATTTGGACATTTGTGTTCACACATGCTGCTTTTCTGGGTAATGGCTAGAAAAGGTGACAGTGCATGTCTGAGAGGGGCTTCGGCCTGAGGCATTGTGTTTGCACCTTCTCCAGAGGGAAGCGATTTGTAGCCTTGAAGGTGGTGAAGAGTGCCGAACACTACACTGAAACAGCCCTGGATGAAATCAAGCTGCTGCGATCAGTGAGTCCCAGCTTTTCTGAGTCTGTGGCTATGGGCAGATGGTGGCGAGGCCAAAATGTGACTGACCCTATCCAGCTGCCTTTATAATGTTCTTGTCTGCTTTTGCATAAATTACTCTTTGTCTTCCTTATACTTTTGCCAGGTCAGGAACACAGACCCTGATGATCCCAACCGGGAGAAGGTGGTCCAGCTACTGGACGACTTCAAGATCTCTGGGAGCAATGGAACTCGTATCCTGCTTAGCCAATTTTTTTTTCCAGGAGGAAACGTATTGATTCAGACCTTATGTTCCAACCACTGAAATGCAGACTATCTGGGGAGTCCAGTTAACAGTGCTGGTTTTACAGAGCTGATCTGATTTGCTGCATTATATTTCAGTGTAGCACATGGGGTGGTCACCGTGTCTTACTAAGCCATAATCCTAGTGTGTAATTTAAAATGGCTTCCTGTGATAGGCTGGAGAACCAAGATATCGTAGCTAAGATGTATTAAATACTAGTGTTGAAGCTGTCTTTTGATGCTAAGGACAACCTTGATGTCAGTGATTTGTGCCAAACAGTTTGTATCATTGTGTTTACCCTTAATGGTCGTGTTCTGAGATGTCTGCATGGTGTTTGAGGTTCTGGGTCACCACCTTCTCAAGTGGATCATCAAGTCCAACTACCAGGGCCTACCGCTGCCCTGTGTGAAGAGCATCATCCGTCAGGTGACTTTCTCTGTGTGCTTGTGCACAAATACCTGTGCATCCTTGGTTTAAAGCAGGGAAACAATAGTTTGGCTTCCTTTTCATTGAACATATTACTATTTATCGAGCAGGACCTACTATGACACGGTGAGTATCGACATCAGGATTAACTGTAAAAAACAATTATCAGAGGCACAGTACGGGGACAGCCAAGTCGTTAAAAGTGCGCAGTATCTCTCATGCCTACTTAACTCTTCACCGGTTTGCTTATGTTTTGTGGAAGGTGGTAGATCCCGAGTGATTTTGGATGTTCAGTCAGTTTTTGGTCCATAATTCCAGTAGAAATTTTGCACAGGACAAAATGGAACTCTGAGCCTGGTTAGGGATTGGGCAGACTACAGCACAGCGATATGCCCTGAAAATATATTTTAAGAGATTTTAACAACATTGGTATTTATCATGATATTCTAAAATTCACATGTAAAAACACACTGAAATGATAGGGTGTGATTATGTTTACAATCACCAAATTGTTATACTAATAGCTAGGGCTGCACAATAACACATCGCGGTTATATGGCGCATGCACAAAAACCACCTGGGCTTCAGACGAGGGCCGTCACTTTCTTCTCCGCCACTTCAGTGCCTGTCGCTTCCCTGATTTACCAAACAGTAGCATGTGGCACACTCAGCTAAATGAATTTAATGAACACAAGTATATGCTGAATTTATACTGCTGACTAACTTTTGAGCTTCATGATACGCCTCTTGTTAATAATTCAAGGCAAAAAAAAGCTGGTACCTAGACAAATGTTTGCACCCATCATCTAAAGCCCTGGTGATTATTGCACATATGCCATGTTACCGTGCCAGATGCGACTGTATGTAAGCTGTCTCAATCCCCTTGATAAGCACGCAGCCTTCCCCACATGTGGTCTTGGTTCACGGGGACACATACATCATCCCATCTATTGCTGCTGGTGAACACTGTGTTTGCTGGATTTGCAGGTTCTCCAGGGCCTGGACTACCTACATTCAAAGTGTAAGATCATCCATACAGACATCAAGCCAGAGAACATCTTAATGAGTGTCACCGAGCCCTATGTCAGGAGGCTGGCGGCCGAGGCCACAGAGTGGCAGCGTTCTGGAGCTCCTCCCCCTTCCGGCTCTGCAGGTACCCCCCCCCTCCCCTTTCTCTATACTCCCTGTGATCCGTCAGCTGTCACCTTTAAGCCTTGACTGATTTAAGTCATGGTGGTGTTGTTGGTGACACTATCATTTATTGAACTGAAAATTGATAAAGTGTTTGATGCAGCCATGGACGGTTTGTAGCTCAGTCATTTAGGGATGTGCTTATTTCCATTTGGGAGATTGTGAGGTGAATCCCACCCAGCAGGCAGAGTAATCATATCACCTTTGGGCCTTGAGCAAGGCACTTAACCAGAACTACTCCAGGGATGCTCTGACCCATGCTTTCCTCATTCATAGAGGAGGAAGGCCTGTACCTTGTATTGATTGTTAGTCTTGTCCTTTGCGTCCTTACCACCATGCACATTCTGTTCATTCTCTGTTTCTCCATTGCAGTGAGTACGGCCCCACCACCCAAACAGGTAAGCTGTTTTTCTGATTTCTGATATATATATTTTTTTTAATTAGTTTCCTGCCTTTCTGAGGCTAAAAGCTGCCTCTGTCCCGCCGGTCCCCTAGGCAATGAAGATGTCCAAGAACAAGAAGAAGAAGCTGAAGAAGAAGCAGAAGCGACAGGCAGAACTGCTGGAGAAGCGCATGATGGAGCTAGAGGAGCTGGAGCGGACCGCGGGGGATGCTGCTGAGGAGGAGGAGGAGGAGGAGGATGAGGAGCCCGAACGCCCCGAACGCCCCCCCTGCACCCCCCTCAAGGAGGCTGCTCTGCAAGACATTGCATGCGAGGCAGCAGAAGGTTCAGTATCTCATTAAAATGCCGTGTGTGCGGGGAGGAAGCGTGGCCTGTGCTGACTGACCGTTTTCTGACCGTATCCAACCCAGAGGACAGAGTGGAGAGCTGGGAGCCAGATGATGCAGGGGACACTAACTGTAATGGCCACGCTCCCTGCACCGGCCCTGAGGTGCAGATGGAGGCTGAGGAGCAGGACGACCCCCGACACCGAGCTCTGAGCCCGCAGCAGGAGGCCCAACACCCCCACAACTCCTATCGGGCCTTTAACAGTGGACGCGGCTCCAATGACAGCTGCAGCGTCACCACAGTCAGTGACAGTAGTGGCTGTTCAGAGTCGAACGGGCTGCCGGGGGAAGGGAAGGAAGTGCAGGAGCTGATGGCGGAGCGCCCACAGGACTGCCTGAGGAGCGGTGAGTGTGGGGCCCCTGTTGCCCTCCTGCTGTCAGAGATGGTCACTCTGTGATTTGGACGGAAGCTGCAACATCAACTCTCTGTGTGGCTCCCTTACAGACGGAGCTAAGCTGGCAGCTGGGCAGCTGCTGGTGAACCCTCTGGAAGTGAGCAACGCAGGCAAGATCCAGGTGAAGATTGCAGACTTGGGCAACGCCTGCTGGGTGGTGAGTGGCTCCATCAGGGCTCTTGCTCCAATGCCCGTCAGCCGATCGGGGCTCTTGCTCCAGTGTCCCTCTGCCCATCGGGGCTCTTGCTCCAATGCCCGTCAACCCATTGGGCTCTTACTGTAAGTCATGAGGAAGAGTCACAAGAATGTCCTTTTGTCTCAGTTTTCAGTATAAATGTTTTTCTTGGACTCTGCGTTGATCCCTTGCCTAAAGGATGTTTTAATTGCATTTTGTTTCCACAGCACAAACACTTCACAGAGGACATCCAGACACGACAGTACCGCTCTCTGGAGGTGCTTATCGGCGCGGGCTACAGCACGCCGGCGGACGTTTGGAGCACGGCCTGCATGGTAGGGTTGGGCTGGTCTGTTTGTGTGGTGCCACACTCAGGCTAAAGTGTGTACTTCTATCCAAGGTAGAATTAAGCTGTAATGTCAGGCAGACCTTTTCCATAACGTCTGTGGACTGAGCGGTGTCCCTGATGGGCATGATTGTGTGTTTGCCTCTGCCACAGGCGTTCGAGCTGGCCACGGGGGATTACCTGTTTGAGCCACATTCTGGGGAGGATTACTCAAGAGATGAAGGTGATGTACCTAAGAGATTCTGCAGCGTGGTGCGGTGTTTTGTATGTGACCAAGTAGATGAGCCGTAGATGAGGAATCTACCCTGATGTGGTGAAACAAAAGGTCCTGCTGGACCAAAAAATCCTGGGAAATGATGAGTGAGCAGATGGTTGGTGGCTTTCAGTTCAGGAACGCAATGGACATTAACCCATAAGTACTTTAATATAAAATGCATCTCTTTAAATGATTGTATGAAAAGTGAGATTACTGTAAATGGATTGGTTGAAAAAAATGAGAATAAGTAGACAAATTATTTTGTTATTGATCACTGGCTTTGGAGAACTTGCACAGTTCTTCAAATCCATGTTCTCTGGGATATGATAGTGGTTCTCCTAGACTTCGATCCATTTGGCATGGCTTAGTTCCCCCAGCCCACCTCTACGCACATGCGGTATGAGGCATTGTGCTGGACTAAAGTGCTGCATGCACAAGAATGCGTTTGGAAGGAGGCTGGAGTCATTGTCTCCGGGCCCATTGTACCGTCCCTTTGTCTTTGGAAGGAGGCGGGAGTCATTGTCTCCGGGCCCATTGTACCCTCCCTTTGTCTTTGGAATGAGGCGGGAGTCATTGTCCCCGGGCCCATTGTACCCTCCCTTTGTCTTTTGGAAGGAGGCGGGAGTCACTGTCTCCGGGCCCATTGTACCCTGCCTTTGTCTTTGGAAGGAGGCGGGAGTCACTGTCTCTGGGCCCATTGTTCCCTCCCTTTGTCTTTGGAAGGAGGTGGGAGTCATTGTCTCCGGGCCCATTGTACCCTCCCTTTGTCTTTGGAAGGAGACAGGAGTCACTGTCTCCGGGCCCATTGTACCCTCCCTTTGTCTTTGGAAGGAGACAGGAGTCACTGTGTCCGGGCCCATTGTTCCCTTCTTGTACAGTGGTACCTTGGTTTGTGAGCATAATTCGTTCCGGAAACGTGCTCGAATATCAAAGTGAATTTTCCCATTAGAAATAATGTAAACTCAGATGATTCATTCCACAACCCAAAAATATTCATATAAAAATGATTAATACAAAATATAAAGTAAAAATACATTAAACAAATTAACCTGCACTTTACCTTTGAAAAGAATCATGGAAGGTGTGAGGGAGACGAGAGGAGAAGAGGAGGGTTATTTTGCAGGACGACTTTCACTATAACGGCCTCCTTTTCGATTTCATGGAAATGTGGACATTGCATTGTCATTGTACAGATTCGTCACTCGCACTGCTATAACCTTATTCGGGTGGTGCTTTTCTACTAAATTCTGACTATACGAGTGAGGCACGCCAAATGGGATCGAGCATGGGGAATGATTACCCACAATCCCGCAGCGAGAGAGAGAAGAACCATCGGCTCAGTTGTGATTACGTGACGCTAACAAAGCATATACGTAGTACTCATATTGCAGGACCTCGCTCGTTTATCAAGTTAAAATGCATTAAAAAAAAATTGCTCGTCTTGCAACACACTCACAGAGCAAGTTACTCGCAATCCAAGGTTTTACTGTATCTTCAAATTTGTGGACCTTTCAGGTCTTTGTTCCTCTTGGAATCTGGTTTTGCAGGTCTGTTACAGGGATTTTTTTTTTCTTTTTTTGTCTGAATTGACTTTATTTTCCACCTCTTAAATGATTTTGGTGTCATTGAGGGGTGCAATACCTGAAAGCAAAATCTACAATACCCAAACGTGTCCAGTTTTTTCTTTGGCTAAAACCTCTCTATAGGTATGCACAAATACTTGTCTTAATCTCAAAGCATGTATCCCATGTTCTTGACTTGAACTGGTTATAGAAATTCAGGTTTAACCCAGCAAAATATGCTTCTACCTTGGAAAGTGTGTGTTGCAGATTCTCCAGCAAACCAACGTCAATACCTATTTGTGCTCAACCCACATGGTGTTATGAATAACATCATCAGGGTTTGAATCCTTCCAGGTCTTTCCCCATTGTTGTATTGCTGTGTCTCTAGGATAGCTCTTCATTTTAGATCAGTGAACCTCGTCCTCACTTCCGTGATGTGTGACTTTGGGTGGTGTTTTGATGTTTTCGATTTGTCATTGAAGCTGAACTCCTGATTAGCAAGTAATAAATTGTGATTTAAATCTCAGTTAACTATTATTAATTAAACTTTTATTAGGCAAGAGAACAAGCACATAATGGCATGGCATTAATCTGAATTATAGTTATATTTTATGAACATAATTTGTGGCTAGCGACACTCAAGAAGCAGAAAACACACCGTTGCCTGTTAAGTTTTTGCCGGACAAACACCAGCATGAGCTTTGACCATGCATGTTTAAGCACACTCTCCGCAGTGCCAGGCTCAGAGCATGTGAGCGGAGTGGAGCGGAGCGTGAGCGAGGAGCGGAGCGGGCGAAATTTGGTCAGAGCGCGGAGCGGTTTTTTAATTAAGGCTGGAGCGGTCGCTCTGTCTCGCTCCAATTTCGCTCCAATACCGCTCACACTACGAGGCGTGCGCAGATCTTCCCAGAATTCATCTAAGCAATTATCAAGATTTAGATCCGCTTTGGAATCTAAAAAGACCTTTCTCGGAAAGATGAGTGTGTTAAGTGAACACGCGGAGGCCAGAGCAAAACGTGAGCAAGTTTTATATGGTTGTAGCATATCAAGTCTATAAAGTAAATAAAAGTATAAAAGCCTATAATTTGGTAATCAAATAAATTAGTTTGTCATTCAAATTAGGTCTAATAGGATTTTTAAAATTCACGTAACGCTGTCAGTGAAATTTTATTTTATAGAGAGAGACGCAGTAGCAGCATCAACAGAAAATAACTGAGGAATTTAAAACGTGGATGCGCTTAGCCTGTATATTCTTTAGGCTATTAAGCCCACTGATTCCTTTATTTTTAAGCCTATTTTGTGTGGAATGCCATTGCCAAACCTGTCCATTGTTGCCTATATGTTGTTTAAAAATAAATATTTTCTGTTCTGAGTGCCGTTGCTCACATTTCTTTATGATATAAGGCATCGGTTTATGGTGATATTTGTTAGGCATGCAGATTATTTGTCCCTCTTTTAAATTGGAGCGAGCATGGAGCGATTTGACTGGAGAGGGAGGAAATTTTAGTGGAGCGAGGAGCGGTGTTGAGCGGAGCGAATTAGAGCGGAGGAGCAGGCGGAGCCAACAGCCTCGTGAGCGAGGCGCGGAAATTCTCACCACTCCACTCCGCTCACATGCTCTGGCCAGGCTGGGGGATTCCTGCTGCTGGGCTGGTGATGGAGGCTGGAAGGGGTGGGTCTCCGCACCCTGCCTGAGGTGTGACATTGCAGGGCTGACTCAGTCTCACTCTGGCCCTGCCTGTAGCCTGTCTGCTGTGCCCCTGTCTAGCTGTCTTGTGGGGAGTCCCCTGTGTGTCTGCACCTCCCAGCACAGGCCTTTATTGGAATATTGTTTTTGACAACCATGTCTCCTTTTTCTCCTCCTCCCTATCCCGTTCTCCTCGTTTTCCGTGCGCGTCTGATATGCAGACCACATCGCATTGATCATCGAGCTGCTGGGAAGGCTACCTCGCAAGCTCATCACTGCTGGCAAATACTCCAAGGATTTCTTCACCAAAAAAGGTAAGTGGGGGGGGGGTACTGGGGCTGTGTATTAAGATGCAAAAGCTGTCTCTAGCAGCAGAAGTTAGACATTCTGCAGTAAATGATGTGTACAGGTTAGTATACCAGTGTGTCTGCTGGCTTGTGAGATGCTCAGTTTGGTATTCTACTCAATAGTTCACTGCTTTTATAGATGCCACACACACATATGGGTATGTTTTCCAGAACTGGATTTTTGAGAGTTCTGCCAGGCTAGATTGTAACCCCCCTCCCTCCCAACCAGGGGACCTGCGACACATCACTAACCTGAAGCCTTGGGGCCTGCAGGATGTGCTGGTCGATAAGTATGAATGGGTCCCGGCTGAGGCCCAAGCCTTCACCAGCTTTCTGCTACCCATGCTTGAGCTGGTGCCTGAGAAGAGGGCCATGGCTGCCGAATGCCTACGGCACCCGTGGCTCTCCATGACTGATGGCAGGGGGGAGATCCCTCACCAGACAGCCAGTGACCCCCTGGTCACCTCTGCCATGACCCTTGGCGAACTGGCCTTGAGCTCCAGCGATTCGATGGAGACCCCCTTCCTCACCCCCAGTGATGCTTCCCTGACACCCAGCGAGCCAGCAGGGATGCCCAGCCTCAGCGATGCCCCTCTGACACCCAGCGAGCCAGCAGGGATGCCCAGCTTCAGCGATGCCCCTCTGACACCCAGCGAGCCAGCAGGGACGCCCAGCCTCAGCGATGCCCCTCTGACACCCAGCAAGCCAGCAGGGATGCCCAGCTTCAGCGATGCCCCCCTGACACCCAGCGAGCCAGCAGGGACGCCCAGCTTCAGCGATGCCCCCGTGACACCCAGCGAGCCAGCAGGGACGCCCAGCTTCAGCGATGCCCCCGTGACGGAGGCCACCCACCGTGAGCTCTGACCCTTGGGCACCTTGGAACAGAGACTGCTCTTCTCCCTCACCCTGCTGCACTATGGCGGCTGCTGGGAGGTCCTTTCCTGCTAGGGCTCCCTGATTTCCTGACTGGTTCAGATGTTTTAGTTCTGTTTTTCCACTAACTGGGTATTACTTGAGTTTTTTTCCCCTTTTCGTCATTTCATGAAGATTCTCGTGCCCTTTGAAATGTTGTGGTATACTCCCCCTCTCAGATCTGGGTACGTGCCCCTCCCCAAAGCATACCCACTCCCATTTACATTATTTTCCTGTGTTCGAGTTGGACGTGCAGCTTAAATGAGTCAGCCTGGGGCTTGGTCGGGGGCGAGGACACACACAGTGTCTGAGTGTAGACAGCCAGTCACCCGCTTTTCTGTTGCAGCATAGTAAAAACAGGGTGTGGTTACACACGTACCTTCAGAAGCCCTAAAATGCTTAAAAGACTTTGTCTCCCTCATAAGTCCTCTCATCCTGGGAAGTGCACCCCAATAAGTGAAGTTTGGACAGGCCTGAGTTGGCCCAGTTGTTCATGGCCTGTTTTTAAATGGGACACAGTGTTTGCTGTAGGTGGGTCAGAGAGACCTTACACAGGGTCTTACCTTTTAGCATTTGTTTCCCCAAAGCTCTGGTGAGGAAGTTGCCTGCAAGAAGCACTAGACTGTTAAATAAATTTGGTATTTTTTCATACCGTTCACTGGCCTGTATTAAAGCTTTGTATTAAACTAGTTGTCTGTTTAATTGTTGGGTTTTTGTGCAGTTTGTGCAGAAAATTACATTTGCATTCACAGACTTTAAGGATTAGGACAGGGATGTTTCTGCATGTGTGAATGTTGTTCCTTGGGGAAACGATTATTTACAAATAGACATGTAACAAACTGGTTTGTTGTGTTTGGGACGAATACCCTACATATTGGCAGTAACCAATACAGTTGGGTCTAATGTCTTCTTTGATCTTGTCACATCTGTTTAAAGTGAATCTGATGGTACAGTGCAGTGACATTTGGTAACTTGTTTTCTTGTTGACTCTTCCTTGTGTTCTGTCGGTTCCTTTTTGAATGAGAAAAGCACATTGGTCTACATGAACATTAGGCTGTATGAGTGAGATTAACAGTAAGCCTAGTGGGAATTTTTTTATTTTTCATTCTCAACAAATTTTCTAGAATAAAGTTTCACAACTGTTGGCTTAACTGACATACAATACATAATTAGCACATACACAAACTTTTGGTCCATAGATATAAAAATCATTTAAGTGTATTTTATTTTCTATTTTACGTACATTATTCCCCCCCATATCGTAGTCTAAAGAAAACTTGTAAAATGTGTAATAACATGTTTTTTCATTGTTCCTTCGTCTTTTTTAGGGGTAAAAAATACATGGTTTTCATTGCTTCGTTATCCCTCGATAGATGATATTTTTTAATTGCTCTGTTGTCTGACCTAAAATGTCAGAATTCCTCTCGTTTGAGAGCGAGTGTACGGGGGGGGGGGGCATAAGGGGATGTTGCCCCGTAAGTTGGCCTACCCTGCTCCCTCGGTGAAGATTAAGGCCTAATTTTAATTATCCATCCATTTTCTGCTGCTTATCCACGGTCGGTTCATGGGGGCAACACTCTGCGCAAGGATTTAAAATTTTTAAATTATTTTCTTTTCATTTTCAAGTACAAAAAAGATAATTCAGCCCACTCAGCCAGGCCTGGGGCGGGACCTTCGGGCCTAGCCCGAAGCAAAAACATGGGCATGTCCTTCTTTGGGCCCACCGCCTGCAGGAGGAGTTATGGGGGTCGGCTGTGATGTAGATCAGGTGGCAGTCGAAGGCAGGGACCCTGACAGACTAATCGTCAGTTAGCAAAACTGGCACTAAGTACATGGAACGTAACCTCTCTAGTGGGAAAGGAGCCCGAACTGGTGTTGGACGTGTCAACTAGATATAGTCAGGCTCACCTCAATGGATTGGATTGTGTGTGGCAGACTTGGCTATTTTCCCAGGATAAGATAAGATAATTTTTATTGTCATTGTCACTTGACAACGAAATTAAGAGTGCAGGCGACTCAATGTGAGGCTTGCGTAATAAATGGATATATTAAAATTATACATATTGCACTGGATATATAAATTGCACTTATGAAATATAAAAATGAACAGTTCTGTTTAGAGTGTAAGGCCATGATTGCTTTTGGATAAAAACTGTTTTTTAGGTGGTTTGTCCTGATTTTCATTGTTCACAGCTTTCCTGATGGCAAAAGCTGAAAGAGACGGTGACCGGGAAGTGATGAATCATGTAAAATGTCCATGGCTTTTTTTCGGCATCGGGGGTGTAGATCTGTTCCAGGGTGGGGAGAGGGCAGCCAATTGTTTTCTCTGCTGCCCTGATGACCCTATGGAGAGCCTTCATGTCTGAGGAAGTGCAGCTGACGTACCGCACGCAGAGTCCGTACCGCACGTACGCTCTCCATGGAACAGTGGTGAATGACAAGGAGCAGATTTTTGGGGAGACGGTTCATTCTGAGGATTCTCAGAAAATACAGTCTCTGCTTAGCCTTTTTCAGCAGCTCCTTGGTGTGAGCACTCCAGGTCAGGTCAACCTCCAATTCAATACCCAGGAACCTGAACACCGGGACCCTCTCCACATATGCTTCATCGATGGTGAGTGGCTGAATGTCAGTTTTATTGGTATTTCATGAAGGTGGCTAGCCTAGTTCATCTAGCTTTTAACAAACATATATACAGGGTTTGGATAATTAAACTAAAATGGCTAGTTGTAGACCACAGTAATTTATTAGTATGGTGTAGGGCCTTACTGTCTTGTACCGGTGGTCTCCGGGATAGGCTCTGGACCTCACCTGACCCTGCATAGGAGAAGCGGTTTCAGAAAATGGATGGTGTAGGGCCTTTTGCGGCCAATACACTATCAACTTGTCTTAGGAATGACAAGTACAAGTCCTGCACAGTGGCCAGAGTTTTGTTCAGATTCCTGTACAGAACAGTGGCCAGATCATTATGTGATGCTGGTGGAAGAAAACATTACTCCTCCAAAACACTCCAAAGTGGCTGAATAATATTCCAATCTGGTGACTGCAAGCCATGGGAGATGTTCAACTTCACTTTCATATTCATCAAACCATTCTGTCGCAAGTCTTGCTGTGTATATTGGTGCATTATCATCCTGATACATGGCACTACCTTCAGGGTATAATGTTTGAACCACTGGGTGAACGTGGTCCTCCAGAATGGTTTCGTAGTCCTTGGCAGTGATGCATTCTAGAACAAGTAGTAGGCCTAGAGAATTCCATGATATTGCAGCCCAAACCATCACTGATCTGCTGCACTCAGAGTACGTTTTTGTAACAGTTTAGGTGGTAAGCCTCTTTGGGGTTTCTCCTCTCTAACTCTCTTGGATGTGAGAAAGATAGTGAAGGTGGACTCATCAGAGAACAACACTCATTTCACATTGTCCACAGCCTAAGATTTGCACTGCTGGCACCATCAAAACCGACGTTTGGCATTCGCAGCCCGACCATGAATATTGATTCTTTGGAGCTCCCGAAGAAACAGTTTTGGTGGAAACCGGAGACTCAAGGTGCCCATTTAAACCTTTTGTGAGTTGGGCAGCTGTGGCTTTACGTTTTTTGGATACAATCTGGGTTAGTGTCTGGACATTCCTTTCAGACAACTTCCTGATGTGTCCACAGTTACTCCTGTTGGATGTGGTCCATCCTTCGTGGTGGTATGCCAACGTTGCCCTGGATACTGTGGTTCTCAATACACCACAAAGATTTGCTGTCCTGGTCACAGATGCGCCACCAAGATATGCACTAACAATTTGTCCTCTTTTGAACTTTGATATGTCTCCCAATATGTTATGTGGATTACAATATATTATGTACAGCTGTACTTTTGCTCTGCTAATTCACTTTTCACACTCTGCTCTTACTGATGGAATGTGCAATCAGTAAAATATATATAATAAGCTGACTACGGGACAGTATATATCTAATACCCTGCATTGCTCATGTTAGATTCTGATGTGCAGAAGGAAATGGATTCTCAGTTTCCAGTTACATATGTTTATCTGCAGAGCGTTATGTGAGTGACTTGAACTGGTGGTTGCTGCTTAAAACACTCTCTTGTTTTATGTTGGTAAACGCAGTTAGCTCTGTAGAAAACAAGCTCAGAAAGTTGCTATCGTGATGCTGTGTGGATGGTACAGGTTTCTGGGGATTTATGTATTTTATGTTAGTGAAAAAATAATAATTTGGGGGTTGGTGGTGGGATCGGCACTCCAGCCTCCGTAAAACAACTCACAACAGCTTGGAATAAACAGGCATGATACCCTTCTGCTCTCCACGGGAGTAGCTCTGCTGAAGAGCTCTGTAGGTGGGTATACCTACTTTTGGTCTGGTTGCTCTGATGGCTGCCACACTCAGGGAGTAGCTGTTGCTGAAGCAGATCGGCTCCTCCTGATGGTGTCTGTTGTCACTTCTTTCAACAAGCATATTATGAGACTCAGGCTAAGGCACTCCTTGGGTGTCTTGTCTGTTGTCTCAGTGTATGCTCCGACCGCGGTGAGTGATGTCTCATTGAGGGAGACATTTTACTCGCAACTTCGCTCAGTGGTTGATGGGTGCCCACAAGGTCACACTCCTCTGATTATGGGTGACTTCAATGTGACCACTGGCACTGAAAGGGCTGGCTATAAGGATTGTAACGGTCCCCAAGGATCTGGAGACCAGGGTGAGAGTGGCTCCATGTTCCTCGACTTTGCGAAAGGTCAGGGGCTGTGGGTTGCTGGATCCTGGTTCCAACGCCTTGAGCCACATCGTTAGACTTGGTACTCCAATACTGCTGGTGTGGCGAAGGGGATAGATCACAACCTCGTGGGCAGACGCTGGAGGCTCCTGCAGAACTGCAGGGTCTACAGAAGTGCCCAGTTTGTGAATTCTGACCACAGACTTGTTGTTGCTACTCTGAAGATTAAGCTTAGATCCAGCAATTTGCCACCTACTAGGAGAATGAGGCTGGACTTAGCCAGACTCAAAGATCAAGCTGTTTCTGATGAGTCTGCATGCAGTTTGTATGAGGAACTTGCAGACTTGGGTGCGACTGCCAACTCTAATGTGATGTGGGAGACCTTCCGTGATAAGACCCTGAAGGTTGCCGTGCGTTGTGTTGGTGTTGCCAGTGTTCCCAGAAGGAGGTGTTTCATCTTGCAGTGCACCCTAGACATTATCAAGAGGAGTCGCAGCGCAAGACTTGGTGGCAACTCCAGTCTGTACTGGGAACAGAGGACGGCTGTTAGGACTCTGAGTGTAGATAATGAGGCATTTGTTATACGGATCTGTGAGCAGGTGACACACCATCTGTGGTTTAGTGACCCACGTCCTGCTTACAGAGGAATAAAAGCATTACACACATCTGAATCTGTTCCTGAGAGACTTGCAGTCAGGGTGGGTGATGGAATGGTCCTTATGGATGACACTGCAGTTGTGACCCGCTGGAGGAGCGGACACAGTACTTTTAGCAGTTGCTTAAAGCAGACCCACCAGCTAAGGTGTTGGACATCCCCGGATTCATGGTTCTCGAAGCTGATCCTCCACTAATCTGTGAACCACCCAATCTCACTGAGATTGCCTGGGTGGTGAATCAGCTGGGGGTTGGGAATTTCACAGAGATCTGTGGTATCCGGGGTGAACTTCTCCAGGCTGGTGGTAAGGCTGTCCTCCTGGCATTGCAGGCAATCTTTGCTTCCGTTTGGAAGTCGGGTGTCATCCCAACTCACTGGAAAACTGAACTTGTAGTCCCTATCTGGAAAGTGAAGGGTGATTGCCTGGATTGCAGCAGCTACAGGGGGATAACACTGCCTTCACTGTCAGGTTATGTCCTTGCTAGGGTCATCCTTAACAGGATCCATGATCATTTGCTCGCCTGTCAGCGACCGGAGCAGTCTGGTTTTACGCCTAAGAAGTCCACCATTGACCATGTCCTGGCACTGAGGGTTCTCATCGAGTGCAAGCGTGAATATCAGCAGAGGTTCTTTGCAGCCTTTGTTGATTTTCATAAAGTCAGTTGACCAAGTTGCCCTGTGGGACATCCTGAGACTTCACGGGATCCCCCTGAAGTTGCTGGATGTCAGAGCCGGCCTGTACACTGGTTATGTGAGTGCAGAGTGGAGGGAGAACCTCCATGTTATTCCCAGTTGATTCTGGGCTTCGCCAGGGGTGTGTTCTTGCTCCTACTCTCTTCAGTGCTTGTACGGACTGGGTATTGGGCAGGGTCGTGGGGTCCAGCAACTGTGGAGCATCTGTTGATGAAGAAAGATTTACTGATCTTGACTTTGCTGACGATGCTGTGATCTTAGCAGAGTCAATGGAGGCTCTGATTGGGGCTCTCGAGATACTAAGTGAGGGGTTTGAGTGTCTGGGATTGTGGGTATCCTGCATACAGAACAAGATCCAGGCCTTTAATGACTTCTTAGACACAGCCATCAGTATTGTGACTGACTGCGGGGAGAATGTCGACCTTGTGAAGAGGTTTACTTACCTCAGCAGTGACATTCATGTCTCTGGTGACTGTTCCTGTGAATTCAGCAGTTAGATAGGGAGAGCATGGGGGGGGTCATGAGGTCGTTGGAAAGGGGTGTGTGACGCTCCCGGTATCTTTGTAAGTGGTTGAAAGTCCAAGTCTTTAGATTCCTGGTGCTCTCTGTCTTGCTGTATGGCTGTGAGACTTGGATACTATCCAGTGAGCTGAGACGAAAATTGGAGTCCTTCGGTACTGTATCTCTTCGGAGAATCCTTGGGAACTGCTGGTGTGACTTTGTGTCAAACGAGCAGTTGCTCAGGGAGTCACGAATGAGGCACATTACCTGCATTGTGAGGGAGTGTCAGTTACGGCACTACGGCCACGTGGTGCATTTCCCTGAGGGTGATCCGGCTCGCAGGATCCTCATTGCTAAGGACCTGAGCAGCTGGACCAGGCTGAGGGGACGCCCATGTAACACCTGGCTGTGGCAGATGGATGGCCATTTCTGGAGGGTGGGACTAGGTTGTGTGTCGGCCTGCAGGGCTGCCAGCTGGGATCTCGAGGAGTTTTGCCCTGTGGTGGGTGCGTCAACGTGTTGCATCAGCGCAGGCCCTCCGACCTGACCTGATCTAACCTGATATTTTTCTGTGCATGATTTATCAAGTACCACATGTATATGAAAATCATGTATATATGGGGTCCGCGGATGGTTTGCTGTTGTCAGCAGTGTCTGCTATCCTTGGTAGATCGTGTAATGTACCACTTGTAGATATGTAGGGTTGCTGTAGTAACAAGTTATTGGTTGATTCTGCTTATACACTGATACAAAGTTTCCACAAAAAAATCAGGTTTCAACTCAAAAGGAGCAGGTAAACATACACTGTCATCCTCTACACCTCGCACCAAACACCCAAATACTGTGTTTCTGTAACATCACTTAGGAGTGCAATTCAAACATGATCACGTGGTTCAAAACACAATTCATTTTATTTTGGTGCATCTTGCTACATTTGCATTACATTTACTTATTTAGCAGGTACCTTTTGTTCAAAGCGATGTACAAGTGAGGCAAATAGCATATTATAAGCATACTACTGTCAAGAGTTAAACAAGGCATAAGTTTAGCTAATAAGATGCCACAAACCACTATTTATGTTTTCACATTCAAATGGATAGAACAGCTCTCCTAGAGAAGTCCAGTACAAGACCATAATACCTCCCATTAGTCATGACCCTAGGTAATGACCCTCTTCTGGACTCTGTCCATCGCTTGCATTGAGATAAGGAGCAGCACCATCAGAGCAGGGCTTCTGCTGCTGTTCTGGGAGGGAAGCCTCCTGCTTGTGGCTCTTCTGCTCCTCCCTCTTCCAGCTCAGGGTTTTTCTGAAAAGCAACAGGGACACTTTTAGGGCCTGCTCTCTCAGCCTTCCCAAAGCACAGTGCAGCCACCTGAAAGAATATGGGTGCAACCCTATAAAAGATGACAAGATAAGATACGATAAGATAAGATGAGATAATGTTTGGATCCTTCTAAAGAAGCCTCAGTAAAGACCATACAAGTTAAAGGAAAATTAAGGAGGAAAAAAGATATATAGCATTAAATAAGTAACATATAGCGATAACAGTACACAGTATTAAAGTATTGGAGGAATATTGCACATTAATTACTGCATGTAAGATAAATATATTGCACTGAGAAATATATCACTTCGGAAAACCTCAGCTGAGAGTGCAGGAAATGGTCAAGAACAGTGATATTGCACAGTATAAAGGATTACATGGTATACAGTTGAAGTATAGAAAAAAGTGAGATAGTCACGTTGTCTGAAAGTAAACATGGGTGGAACCCAAAACAGTTAAGGTGCATGTTTCTGCATGTGTAGTGTGTGATATGTGTGGTGTGGATAAGTCAAAGTACAGTTCAGTCTGGTGCTGCGGTGAGTGGGAGGAAGGTCCCAGTGTGTTTAGCAGTGTGACAGCTTGGGGGGTAAAAACTGTTCTGCAGTCTTGCAGAGTGAGTGGGAGGAAGCTCCCAGTGTGTTTAGCAGCGTGACAGCTTGGGGGTAGAAGCTGTTATGCAGTCTTGAAGAGTGAGTGGGAGGAAGGTCCCAGTGTGTTTAGCAGTGTGACAGCTTGGGGG